AAATATCGATCTCACTAAATAACACAATATAAAAATTAAAATAACTAAATCTTGAAATAATTCTCACGTTTGAGAATATCTCAAGAGTCACTCACCATTCTAACTTCAGAGATTGCCTTTCTCTTTCCAACACAGTCAACACAGTCAATAATTGTTGGCAAAGAACCTTTCGTCTCTGTTTCCTCGATCGCATGAACAGAGTCATCTTCACCTCTAAAATCTCCATATCCAGAATCATGATCGTCACTATTTGTTGGAGTGATATTCAAATCAAACAAATAGTTTTTGTTGTTTGTTGGTGAAAAGTTTAGATTAAAAGTAGCTATGGAAGATGATTTAATAGTAAAAGTATGTGTTAATATATAGAAGCGTGACAAGTTTTGAATTTTAATATTTGCCTCCATTAGCTTTCTTCTTCAATCGTGTTATTGACGTGAAAATTTCAGGTTCCCTCCACTTACATTTTTATAGTAGTCAAGTCAAAAATATATATATTTAATTTAGTAAAAGCTGTTAATTTTGTATTGAATGGGGAAGAATTCTAAGAGGTTATGTTTGTAACGATTAAAAGAGAAAATAAAAATAAATGGAGTAGAATTAAAATTGTAAACTGAAGTTATTTGTGAGGTTAAAATAGTCAATTTACAAAATTCCTTAATCTACGTAAAACAACTTAGAACGACAAGTAATATGAAACGGAGAGAGTATATTTTATCGATTTCTCTAAAAGTAAGAGCTGTTTTCCGTAACTCTTACACTCGATCTCACTCCTCTTTTCTTTATGACTGTCATTTTTTCTCACAAAAATACTGACTTTGTTTATATCCCCTTATTATTAAAAGGGAAGTACAAATTGAAAAATGGTCTAATTTGGCCTCAATTTCAATTTCAATTTTGGATTTTGTAGAGTATTTGATGAAATTGGAAAGGACTAATTGGTCAAAAAATCTCATTAAGAAGTTTAGGATCCGCGTGTTTAGTATATGGGTGGATATTGGGTCAAATTTTTGGAAAACCGAATTCAAATAACTAATCGGGTTTGATCATCACCAAAATGCAAAAACGAGAACGAATATCTAATCAGTATTTTACCCAATCGAATTTAAAATCGAAAAATATTACAAAAGACTCGACTTTTCTTTTGTGTATGGCTCAAATCGAATACTAGATGTCGGATCTATCATTTTGTTGTCAAACTCAGTTAAATCAGAGGAAAAAATGGTTGAAACAAGTTAAGACAGGCATAGATCAGGGTCTCAGGTGGGCAGCAGTCGGGTGAAGAAGAAAAGATGAGGAATTACCATTTTGCTCTGACTATTAAATTGCGAAAAAGACCCAAACG